TTAATATTTTTTTATATGCTTAAAAATAGACTAATTAACTTATTCCATGTAATTGGTGTATAAATAACAAAAGTTACTCCTGAAATTTTTCCAATTGAATTTACTAGTTTAACACCTTCATCACTTGGAATTGCAATAAATATAATTGCTAAATTATTACTATTAATTTCTAATTTTTTTAACTCTTGCACGGCATTAATAACTTTCTCTTTGTTATTTTCATAAAGGCCGATAAATACAATATCATAAGCATGTTGATATAATTCTCTATATGTTTTTGCTGCTCTAATTCCTTTATCAAAAGTATCAAATGCATCAACTTTTTCGGCCCTTTTAAGATATTTCAACAATGAGTTTCTCACACTTTCGATTGAATGAATAATTAGTATTCGTTTTTTTCTTATAGCATAAGATAATACATAGTTTGTTTGCTCATTAAATTGAGACCCTTGTGTTGATAATGATTCAATGTTCCATGTAAATGAAAATTTACTTCCTTTTTCTAATTGACTTTCAGCTTTAATTTCACCTCCATTAATTTCTACTAGACTTTTACAAATTGAAAGACCAAGTCCTGCACTGTCTTGCTCCTTGGTTATTGACATGTTACCTTGTGAAAAGCTTTCCAAAGAATGTTGTAAATATTCAGGATTCATACTATTATTATTAAATAAATTATTTGAATAACTGCATGTGATAAAATGTGAAGCATATAATTATAAGTAGCTCACCCAATGCCGGTATCACATAATTCAATAAACAAAATTTCTTTGTTAACCAGATTATCAAAAGTCGAATTCTCTTCATTTTCATTATCCACATTTTCTTCGATGAATTTTCGTGGTCGCATTGAAATTGTTAGTACAATTTCACCTTCATTAGTAAATTTAATTCTAAAAAATTAAATTACGTAATAGCTATAGGTTAAAAAAATAAAAGCATTACACTGTATTATGATTTTCTAAAAATTACTAATTATAAGAATTCATAAAATTGATTCTATATAATACTAATAATAATATTTATTATTATTATTATTATTACAGTATTATATTGTTTTCAAATTTCAAAAAAAGATATGATTGTACGAATAATTAAAAAAATACCTACGAATTTGATAATAAGTGAGATAAAACTTGTTTCAACCTATTTAATAAGAGATAGAGTAAGTAATACAGGTATTTATTAGTTTTATACATTTTATAAAAGATAAATTAGTTAAATCACCTCTCTGGATCACTCTTAACATATCTTGGGATATCTACTTCGTAATTTACAATAATCTCAACCTTTTTAGCAGCAGCTTTTTTTCCGAATACATCAATTGTGCTCTCAAGTAATTCTAATAAATCAAATGTACTATTTACTAGAATTGTTCTTTTTATTTCTAAATTTGTTACATTAAGAATATCATTCATTATGGATAGTGCAACATCAGAAGCTCTTTCTATAATATTAAGCAAATCTCTTTGTTCAGTAGTTAGAATAATGTCCTTGAAAGAAGAGGTAATGCCTACTATCGCACCTAGCGGTGTTCGTAATTCTAAATCGAGATTAAGATTAATTAGCAAGATAAAAGGTTTAATAGTATATGAAAAGATAATAATATACCATGAGAAGTATTTGCCAATATTTGATTCTTAACACTATTTGCAATTTCAGTAGCTTTAATCTGAATTGCCTTCTCCATATTCTCTTCTATCAGTTTTACTTTTGTAATGGCCATACTAATTTGATTCGATATTTGTTGCAAAAAATCCATTTCAGAATTAGACCAAATAGAATTTGGAGATCTATGTACTTTTATATATCCCCAATTATCATTCAACCATACTTCTATAGATAATATAGAAACATTTTTGCGAACTTCATCACAATATAAATCTAAATAAACATCAACCATTGAATTTTTGGTTAAGTATTCTTGTAACTCGGTGAACGTTTGTGAATTACTTTCATTATTATCACTGATTTCTGAGAATGGATTAATTACTGGTGTTAAACATTCCGAATCTTCGCTCTCTGGAATAACTATTTTATAATTATTAGATTGTTTATTTGAAATAATAAAGATTCTTTCACATGGTAATCTACGGTATATTTCTTTAGCAATATACTGGAATGTTTCACCTAGGTCTGATTTTGAATGAACCATATTCGTTATTGAGAGCAATAATTGTTTTATATCTTCTTGTTCATATTGGTGAAAGAATATTCTACGACGAAGATGTGAGAGTTTAATATTAGCGCGAATACGGGTAATTAATTCTCGAGCTGAAAATGGTTTTACTAAATAGTCATCTGCTCCTTTATCCAAACCTAAAAATAAATGCAATGTGATTAAAAATACCGATAAAATAATAATAAAATAGTATATTGAATATCTCGAATTAAATTGAGGATTTCAATTTGAAGTTTATTTGTGAATTTTTGTTATTTAATTAGCTAGCTTTCATAATTTATAGAAACTTTTTATTGAATATATATCTATTCAAAAATCAAATAAAATTTTTTTTGAAAAATTGTCAAAGTAGCCATATAATACCGACAATTTAATGGCTTAAATTACCTTTAATTCTAGAAGTTTCAGAAGCTTTTGCTGATAACAATATTACAGGAATCATTTGAGTTTTTAGATCAGATCTTAATACATCTAATAACTCATATCCATTCATATTTGGCATCATAATATCTATTAAATTCAAATTAAGTAATTCAATAACGATTAAATTGCTACAAATAATAAATTAAAATATTATTTACCACTAAGTATTAAATCAGGTAATTCTTTAAGAGTTTTTAAGACTCTTATAGCATCTTGGCCATCACAAGCACGATTTATGTTAAATTCTTTTAATAGATCCACTAAATAATCTCTATAAGTATGGTATATAATAAATAATTTTACAAAAATGTCTTAATCGATAGAAATAACGAAAAATATTACCTCATGTCATTATTGTCATCAACAATCAAGATCTTATATTTTTTATTTTCTGTGGATATTTTGTCAGAGTCATTGGTTGAAATTTGACCCATTATAGCATCTTGAGTTTCAGATTCCTTATTTTTCATCCATTGAGAACTTTCGTCTAAATAAAGTTGACTATCAATGGGTAATACCCGACCATAACTTATTTGGACATCCATGTTAATAGAGTGTAATTGATTTGTTAATATGTGGTCATAACCTATTGGAAACCAACATTTAAATGTTGTTCCTTGATTTACCACTGAAGATACAGTTATATCTCCACCATGGAGCGTAATAAATTCTTTGACAAGAGCAAGCCCTATTCCAGTACCTTCACGACTACGTGATCCTTGAGATTCTACACGATAAAAGCGCTGAAATATATTCGGAAGTGTGATTTCTGGAATACCAATGCCTAAATAAAAAGTCAATCGAGTTTTAGTAATGACAACTGCATATATATATGTGTGAAGTTTGCATATGCCTGAAATTTCAGGCACATGAAGTTGTAACTCCAGGAAGATGCTAACTTCAGGTTAATAAACAAAGTATTTATTAACCTGTATCTGACACTTCAAGAACTATCATCTTTTTTTTATCCTTATAGTCAAGATATAAGTGAATGGATATTTGTCCATTCCAAGTATGCTTAAATGCATTTGAACCTTTAACAAGAAAGATATATGAGTAAATGTTATTCATACCATTTATACCACATATTTTTGGAAAATGCTTACAAAGATTAAATACTATTGTTTCATACATATCACGATCTAAGTATATTTTATCGCCCACGGCATGGTTAAATTCTTCCGGGTTTGATATATTAATGTTGTAATCTAAACCTAATGTTTTAGCCATACTTTTAAATTCCGAAGCCAACTCTTGAGTAAATTTGGCTATATTTATCTCACGATAATATGCTTTTAATTGATTATTTTCTATATCAGAAAACTATAAAAGAAGTTAATATAAAATATAATTTCAAGAACTAGATGTAGCTATTGATAGAAATTATTTTAGTTATTAACAATTTCTATAATATATAACATACTTGTAATAACATATTAATGAATTTAAGTAAACGACGAGCGTTACGCCGTATAATTTGAAAATGTAGCATTATTGGTGCTTCTTGTGGACATGCGTTAATTACGTCATCAAGTGGTGAAATCATTAAGGCTAATGGTGCTAATGTAATAAAGAAGGATGAGTATATTTATACAATATATTTTTAAAATATCATTTTATGATAATACTTTTTAATTCATGACTAATTCCTTGTAAAAACACAATTTTTTGGTAATTCAAATCAGCCAATATTTTAGCTCGCTCCTTTTCTTCTTCAATTGATTTGACTTCTCGTAAAAATGAATTTATTTGATTTGTGACTAACTGGTAAATTATAATTTTTAGGTATTTTTAATATTGTAATTATAACGAAATTAATTATATAAGTTATTACATACTCGTAAAAATTCCATATGCTTTTCATCAAGCGCGTGAAGTTGGTTGATACCATAAATTAATACAACCGACAAAGCTTGTGAAATTTCTGTCGAGAAGAGTATAGCACGAGATTCGTCTTTTAAAAGAACTTTCACGTGATTTCTTTCCTTTAATGCAAGATAAATTGGCCAAGATTCACATTTTAAGAACGAATGAGTTATATCACATCGTTTTAGTTCTATATATGTACCACAGCTCTTATCAACATCTTTAGCTAAGTCAATTATTTCATGAGTTTCTAGCATATAATCAGGAATATGACGTTTTTTTTTATCATCATCAAAGGTCGTAGAGATTAAGTGGGCGATCGGTTCAGAACTAGTATTTAGTTTATGTTTGATCAAGTAAATGAATGTATAAGGAATATCTATATTGTTACTTAATAATTTTGTTATAATATTGCAAGCACTTTCTAAGGATTCAGCCTCTTTAAAATATATTATGAAAATGAATCAGTTAGAGGTACAATTTTAAACCACAAAAATAATAAACGGAATTATACATTATATTTATGATATTAACCAGAAATATGTTTTCCAAATTCACCAAGTGTTTTTAATCTTCGAGTATTTATAATTTTTTGAGTTGTATCGTAAATCAGAGCAAATACAGCACAGATCGTGCCATCTGATTTGAAAATCGGTGTCATTGCATCGTAGTGGGAGTACTCATCTCGTCCAAATCTTGCGGCTTCACCGAAAAAATATATACCTTTACCAGTTGCCATTATTCTACATATATTACAATTTAAGAGAACTTTAATATTATGAATGAAAACATCCTTAAAAATTATTTCTTACTTATTAAGTTGAGAATTAGTATGGATAACTCCTTGCCCAGGAAAAACATCATGAATTCGCATTCCTAATGCTATTAACATTAAGAAAGCAGGTAGTTAGTAACACTATATTTATTATAAACATATAGAATTTTTTAACAAACCGGATGGATGCTTTTCCTTAACCCACGGTATATATGCTATGAGTAAATATTATTAGATATTTAAGCAAATCAAATATATTCAGCAAATAAGCTTTCTACCTTCATTGTAGAGCAATAACCAATCGGGAGGATTGATAAGAACACAGCTAGGAAACTTAGTATTGAGACTTAATTCCTAACATTAAACACATGAATTTTACAAATCTTTACAATTTTAAAGAAAATATATATGAGCACAAATTACCACAGCATTTTTGAGAGCAGGATCCCATGTATTTATAGGACCAATCGAAGTTGAAGACCATTCATAATTATAGACCATATTAATAAAACTTGATTCTTCATTCTCGATACTATCACCACTATTAATCAAAGGTAACGACATAAAGACTAGAAATGACAAAGATATTTAAGACAATAAAAATAAAGTCATTTAATTAACAGAAGAATAATTTCACAAAAATTTACTTACATACACTAATATTTAAAGGATATTATGGAAAAAAGTTTCAGAACTTAGTTGTAAAAAGAATTTCTCTTCAGACTTTTATATATTTATAAATACATTCTATGGATTTTTTTTTGCACGTACATAAGTACTTTGTATTCTTAATTTTTTTTTTAAGTTTCTCAGTGATTTTATAATTTGTTGCCAGTTTACCTGCAATTCTGATATGCACATATGTACGTACGTACGTATGTATTCATTTTTGTTCCTATACTGTATATTCCATATTTCATTTAAGGGCACACGAATTAATCATTGCAACAATACACTGCTATATTAAGCTATTTAGGACATATAATTGGCTAAGTCATAATTGTGTAGTTCATAAAATTTGATAAATACATAGTGTTGGAGCTTACGGAACTACTGCAATCATCACCAAAGAAAACAAACCACACGATCTACCTAATTAATGAAGGCTGAAAAGGCTAAGATTAGGTGTATTAGTCGAACTAAATTTATCGACTAAGTCGATCTTATATAAGATTAACGATTTTCAAAGAGCCAGTCTAGTCGATTTTCTGAAAATTCGACCAGCTTAGTCGGCTAAGTCAACTAAGTTGACTAACTCGAATCCCTATCGGGTATATGTTTACCACAAAATCCCGAAAGGACCTAATACCGACAAAGATAGCCGGCATTAGTTATAATGCTGACCTAATTTAGTTGGTATTATGTTCTTTCGGGAAAATGGTTTTCGAAATTTAGTGGTAAAACCATCAGGTATATGGCGGGAATAAGAGAACGAATTTATTATTGGTGCACTTTATTGTACTTACACGACGATTTTGGTTTGGCGAAACACTTTTACCAATCAGGAGCTAATTTCAATATTATTCAGTTTAGAGGTGCGATCCGTAAACTATTAGTCAATACAGTACAGTCAACCCTCCCTAAGTGCACCCCCTCGGGACCGCAGGAAAAAAAATTAAAAAGTGTGCACTTAGAGAGGGTGTGCATTTATAGAGAGCAAAATACAGTATACAGAGCTCTTATAAACTGGGACCGGACTATACCGTGCATTTAGAGAGAATTTACATAATCCGTGCACTTAGGGAAGTGCACTTATAGAGGTCTGACTGTATAAATAAACTGTAGTTTTAAAATAAACTACAGTTTATTTATATGTATTGTAATTAACAGTTCACATCTCTAATTCAGTTTTGTCGATAATTTTTCTAAAAAGGAGACCCACTTCCGTTTGAAGTTAATTTTTCGGTTAACATCACTTTCCAGGACTCTCGGAGAGAGGAAGCAAATGAAACGAATATATAAAATGAACAAACTATTTTTAATGTAGTAAATATATTGTAACGAATTGACTTCAAGTTAGAGATTCTAGTTGAGTTGCTAATTAGGTCAGATAAATTAGATTCAATAGTTAATATTTACATTCCTATTATAAAAGAGAGGACAAATATAGATAAATAAATAAAAATTATATGATGTTCATCCGCTTCGTACGTATAATTTTTACAGTGATCAGATCTGCATCATTTTTTTAAAGTATGTATGCAGCGATCACATATCGGAATTTTGGGTTTACCAATTCCCCCAAGTTCCTATTGGTCGAATACAAATTTTGTCCCTTATTGAATGAAATAAATCACTGATCGGATGGCTTAAAAATTAATGTAAAAAATGTAAAAAAGTATCGATTCGAATAATTGGTTTGTAATTGTTATTTCCATAAAAGTTAAATGTTTTTTTTTTATTTTTTAATTTGATTAGTTTAATTTTTTTATTTTTTGATTCGATTAATTTTTTTAATTCGATTAATTTTTTTCAATTCTATTAATTTTTTTTAATTCGATTAATTTTTTTTTAATTCGATTAATTTTTTTTAATTCGGTTAATTTTTTTTGATTCGATTAATTTTTTTTAATTCGATTAATTTTTTTTAATTCGATTAATTTTATTTTCTAAATTATTTTATTTTATTTTAAGTTATTTTATTTATTTTTTTATTTTATATTTGCCGTATAACCGCGAAATAGTGAATAGGGAGTTATTTCGAATTTCGGCCTAAATTAAGCTTAATTTAGGCCGAAATTCAAAACCACACCCCCATCGCGTTATTTCGTGATAATACGGTATTTTTTTTTAATTTTTACTTTTTTTATATGTTCATTTTACCGGGGGGAGGGTGATGTTAACCGAAAATTAACTTCAATTGTTGTGTATTAGTCTATTCTAGTGATGAAGAAGAGTAATTATTTCTACATGTGTAGACAATCGATAATCAATTCTAAGTACTGTTGGTAGCAATCTCGATGGTCCCGTGATATCTAGGGCTGTTAAGTGGTCCGACTCAAACCGATGGGCCGCCGGTCCTGTCTTTTTTGCGATAGACCGAAAGGACCGTCGGTCCTAATATCAGTTATTATTAAAAGTTAGATCATGTATATAAATAAAATATCTACTTAAAGTCGTGAGAATTGAGTTGACATAACGTTATATGCTAAGCAGTGAATACTTAATTGCATGTTTGGTGCTTACATATAACTATTTTGAATTTGGAAAGCTAAATTTCTTTAGCGTAAATCAGGTGCATACCAATATGTATAGAATACTCCAACCTCATAGATTAACTTTTCAATCACGATACTAATTTAGTTAGATGTTTAATTAACCAAAAAATAAATGTCTTAAACTAAATTGTTACAAACAGCATTAATATGTTCGTAAGTTATTTGACGTAAGTTATTTAATATTACTCTATTAGGTTAACACAGGTCGAATGAAGGCAAATCGGGCACCAATCAGTATCACGTAATCCCGATATGAACCTGATTTGAAACAGATATTTAGTGCAAATAGGAGACCTTTAAGATATAAATTTGGTTCATATAGACGATCAATACATATCTGAATGTCGATAGCTCTATAGGTAATTCAAAAAAGCCATGAGCTATCGACATTCCGATATGCTATTTTTATCTTAAAGGTTCTGCTATTTGCAACAAATATCTATTTCAAATCAGGTTCATATCGGGATTACGTGATGCCTATTGATGCCAATCTGCCTTCATTCGAGTTGTTTAATTTTTAGAGGTTTAAACAATGATAAAGATCTATAGTTTTTCTTATTTAATCATAATAACTGGCAAGAGTTAGATATTTGATATACAAATTTAATAAATTTAATTAGAATTATTGTCTAGATATACTTACAGCACAAATTCATTAAAAATATACCTACAAAAATTATGTACATAATTCTCAAAATTCATGCGTATTTCATCACTAATAATAATAGACAGGTTTAAATATTCGGTTAGAGATAGCTTTTATTTAATAAAATAAGTAATAAACCAGTAATTTGAATATACAACGTGTTGATGCAACTTATGTAGCATTTAATTAGTCTAATAATCGGTCCGTCCAGTCTCATACTGATCGGTCCTAGTCAGTCCTGGACCGCAGTCCGGTCCTACTTATTAACCATAGCTGCCGCAACAAATTTGGACCGGCAGATCCTCGATTTTGATTGGCTAACGGCCAAGGATCTTCGAACTTTTGGCCCACATTACAAAATTGGTTACTAATTTCCGGCCGGAATTAACATTTTAATTTTTTTATTACAAAAATAGAAATTCTTAAAAAATAAGGGTAAAATTGGCCCAGGAACAATTTTCATTTAATGGGCGGCTATGATTTAATTAGTAAAATTATCGACCTAATATTTTTTCGTCGCTCTTAGCCAATCAAAATCGAGGATCTACTCCAAATTTGTTGCGGCAGCTATGGTTAATGTCCAACTTTTTAAAAGACCGTCGGTCTTTGGACCAAGACGGACCGGACGGACCGAATAACAGCCCTAGAAGTGCCAGGGAACGCACCCGGATCTAGCGAAACTAAGCTGAAAAAAAATTCCTTCTTTCACAGCGCCTGCTTCTATGTGAAGCCCCCCGACGTACCAAACAAGCCAAGCTTGGTAAATCCTTAAGAAGATGAAAGATTCGAAGAAGAATCGCCAAGATATCATGGTCGCATCTATGATACGATCATTATTAAGATGGCCCAAGACCTTAGTATGAACTCCCGGATGAAGCGCCAGGGGAAGAATCATGGGATGCTCACTGGTTCAAAACAATGACCAAGCAACACCCAAAATGGTTAATGAGGCGGTGGCATTGGAAAAAGAGGCAGGTGACTATAGTTACTTTAAAATTAATAGCGATGACGCGATAGATTAGAGGATAAGATTGGGAATTCTTTCCTTCTTTTTTTTTTCTTTTGTTCAATTTAAGTTTTTGTATAAATAGAGTTTAAGTTCTCCACAGTTGAAGGGCAGATCAGTTCGAATAAAATCAATAAAATTTGAATTTGATCAAATAAAAGGTTGATAATTACTTTTGATCCTAAAGTCCTTCGTTTTCGTACCTTATACCCATAACAAACCAATCTAAAGCCTTAACTTGCCAAATCTTAACTGCCTCACCTTGTTGGTTTGTTGTGCGGTTTTAGTTTTATGTGTTGTAGAGACTATCTAGATCCGTGTATCTTCTAGCCGTTACCACTAACAGTACGTACGTACGTATAATACAGCAGTGTTACAACTGGAGCAACCACGTCTAAGGAACTTAACCTGCTAAGCCAACTGGCTGGCTATTGCAGCATGACTTTACAGCTGTACGTACGTACACACCAGAACATAGCAGATAGTGTAAACTATAGATAGGCAGATTAAAAATTTATATATGAAAATTTGGTAGCCCTGATGCTAAAATAATATCTAAAGATTGGTCAACGCAATTTCATGCGTGTGCAATAATACGTATTTATTCGCATGATTCTATTTATTTCGTGATATTTCATCAAAATTTTATAACCGTGTAAACTATAAATTCAGTCGGCATTAAGATAATTTTGGCACACGACCATGTAATGCAGGCCAGAACTATGGAATAACTTTTTTGCCGAATTTTTATTATGTCTTAAGACCAAAAATCGGATATATTATTCTTTGTAATGTATGTAAATAATTTTGAAACTTGAAACTGCAATATGATATATCACAGTATAAATAAATGTCGTTTCTAAAAAGTGTAGAGTTTAAACCTGGCTGAGCGAAGCGAGACCGAAACATCAAAAGTGTAAAGCGAAGAGATAAGTAGAAATACTACTCTGGAATATAATATATAATATTAGATTTAAAAGAATCAAACAATGAGAAATATAAAAACATTAATGAAGTCTAAGAGCTACGAACTTCTGTATTTTATAGTTCTATTCAAACTAGTCATAATTAACAAAAATATTAACTACTCCAGTTGATGATTGTAGTTAATTTGATGTAGTCAAATTGATTAGTCACTAAGTTAGCTGACTTTTTTTTTTATAATAGGTTTGGTTGATTCAATCAAAAACAAAACCAGATAAAATGTAAAAATAGAATGATTTTTGAAAACTAGGATATCAAATCACAAAAGGTAAATAATATACTGTAATCTGTGCCGAATTGTCGCGAAATAACGCGCAGGTGAGTATTTTCAAAAATTTTCCTAAATTAAGCTTAATTTGGGTCATTACTTTAAATAACGCCCATAGGATTATTTCACGACAATACATTAAACACGCTACAAGTAATCGGCTTGGTTTAGTCGGTTAAGCCGATTTTTAAAATTTTTAAATATCAGCTTAGTCAAGTAAATAAATTTACGTCGATTACAAACACTACTGACAATAGTCTATTAGGAGGTGAACTGTCGCATGATATGTGCTATATATATATTTGCAAATTTGCGCATATCTTCAAACCTGATGGTTATTTTCACAAAAAAATAAATACAATTCTGCGCAGAATTTTATTTTTTAAAAATTTTTGCAGATTTGTACTAAAACCTTTTCTCAAGACCATAAAAATCTGTTTTCATAGAATATTACAGATATTAATATAAATTGAGGTAGGTCTAGGGTTAGGGGTAGTGTTAGGAGTAGTGTTAGGGAGTCGTCTTCTTTTTTCATTTTGTATTTTATTCCAAAGTACAAAAAAACAGATTAAAATTACAAACAATAAACATGCTGGTACGAGAATTTTATACATCAAGTCTGAATTTTCTCCTGAAGAATTGTTTGTACTTGTTGGGTTTGAATTCCAACAACCTGATTGACAATTGTATAAAGGAGAACAATGTTCTTCAGAATTACCACAGTATCCATATTGGGAGCAACAGGATCCATTAGGGTTATTTGGTCAATTAAGTCCGCCAAAATCTTTACCACATCTAATAGTTGTGCTTTGTTGAGTAGATTGAGTAGATTGAGGTAAAGCAAAACATGAAATGATTTTAAATAATGCAAAAATTATATAATTATTAAATTTCGGGTTCATCATTTTTTTCTTTCTTTTAATACTATTACTAAATTGCACAGTAAAAGTACTGATTATTTATCGCATTTTCATGGACATAACTTTATTCTTCTAGAATCCATTTAAACATAAAAACTTCATTAAATGTTCTTTATCCTATTTTAGAAATCTATTTAAACATAAAAGGTGTATTATACATAATTTTATTTTTTTTATAATAAAGAAAAAAAATGCTATATATCATGAATTTTAGTTTAACTCTCAAAGATCTCCAACTAATTTCTGGTTTCGTTCATATAATCTATAAATAACTTTGGCTGAAAGTATTATGTTAATTAATACGAACAAAACGATCCCTCCTTTTGGTATCCAAAAATCACAAGTTTTTAGGTTTTTTCTACGGTGCAAATAAATGAAAACTTTATATCGTAATACTTGATAAGCAAGAAAAATAGAATCACAGATCCGACAACTAATCGTGGATTGTTTATTCTATCATTATTAAATATCCTAATTTATTTCAAAAACCGGAGCAACGAATATCAGTACCGAGAATTAATAATACCTTTTCTTGTTTTCACGCCTTTCTTTAAATATTTATAGTATTAGGATACCGAAAACAGAGCTTACACATAATCACAACCTGACTGCAGTTTATGCAACATATATCAATAGCAGAAACGCAGTGCAACAAGCATATGGTTGCAGTGAGAGTGAAAGTGTTGTGTGCAAATCCACGTATTTGATTGTTTCACATGCCATCCCTCTGAATTTGTGCGTCTCACAGGACCTTGGCCTTAATATTGTGCAACATAAACATAAGATTTTAAGAGATTGTAAACAGAGAAATTATGACACTTACATAACTTCCGACCTTTAAATAAAAGCTTCTGTATGGAATTTTTTAGTTATAGCATACATTTTGAAGTGCTAAATATAGGTAATACTAGCTCTTAAGACCCGGTCCTTGACCGGGTTCGAGTTTCTAATTTTTTGCTAATTCTTAGACCAAAATTATATTGGTTTTAGAACTTTGTAATGCCTGAGTTCAAGTTTCTTTTTTATTTTATTTTTAAGCCTCAACTATAAGCCCAATTTTGATTTAAAAGAACCCAAATTGGGTTCAAAAGAACCTGAATTAGGTCAAAGAACCCAAATTGGGGTAAAGAACCTGAATTGGGTTCGAAAGAACCCGAATTTAGGTCAGAGAACCCGAATTGGGTTTAAAAGAGCCCGAATTTAGGTCAGAGAACCCGAATTGGGTTCAAAAGAACTCAAATTTAGGTCAGAAACCCCGAATTCTGTTCAAAAGAACCCGGATTGGGGTCAAGGAACCCGAATTGGGTTCAAAAGAGCCCGGATTGGGGTCAAAGAACCCGAATTGGGGTCAAAGAACCCGAATTGGATTCAAAAGAACCCGGATTGGGGTCAAAAAACCCAGATTGAGTTCCAACGAACCGAATTGGGTTCCAACGAACCCGAATTTGGTTCCAACAAACCCGAATTGGGTCCAAAGAGCCCGAATTGGGTTCAAAAGAACCCGAATGGGGTTCAAACGAACCCGAATAGGGTTCAAACGAACCTGAATTAGGTTCAAATGAGCCCATATTGGGTTCCAACGAACCTGAATTTGTTTTAAAATTATTTTTTTATATTTTTTAAATTATTTTTTTATTTTTATACTGTACATTTTATTTAAACCTATTTTTTAAGTCAAATTAAATTATTTTTTTATTTTTTAATTATTTTTTATTTTTTTTATTATTTTTTTAATTTTTTATACATTTTTAAATTATTTTTTTATTTTTTTTATATGTTTTTAAATTACTATTTATATTTATAATTATTTATATTTTTTATACATTTTATTAATTTATTTTTTTATTTTTTAAATCATTATTTATATTTTTAATTATTTTTATTTTTTATACGTTTTATTAATTAATTTTTTTTTGTATTTTTTAATTTAAATTACTTTTTATTATTTTTTAATTTTTTATATGGTTTTAAATTATTTTTATTTTTTTATATATTTTTTAAATTATATTGTTGTATTTTTTTTAATTATTTTTTATTTTTGTACATTTTATTAATTTATTTTTTTGTATTTTTTAATTTTTATTATTTTTTAATTTTTTATTACATTTTTAAATTATTTTTATTTTTTTTTGTATTTTTTAATTTTTATTATTTTTTAATTTTTTATTACGTTTTTAAATTATTTTTATTTTTTTTGTTTTTTAAATTATTTTTTTATATTTTTAAATTATTTTTTATACATTTTATTAAATTATTTTTTTATTTATTTTTTAATTTAAATTATTTTTTTTGTTTTTTTATATGTTTTTAAATTATTTTTTATTTTTTATATGTTTTTAAATTATTTTTAAATTTTTTTTAATTATTTTTTTATTTTTTTATACATTTTATTAGTTTATTTTTTTTATTTATTTTTTGTTATTTTTTTAATCTTTTTAATTTTTTAATTATTTTTTAATTTTTTATACAGTTTTAAATTTTTTTATTTTTTTATATGTTTTTTAAATTATTTTTTTATATTTTTTAAATTAGGTTTATTTTTTTATATGTTTTATTAAATAATTTTTTTCTATTTTTAAATTTAGTTTATTTTTTTAGTTTTTTAATACGTTTTAAAATTATTTTTTTGTATTTTTAATTATTTTTTATTTATTAATTTATGTTTTTATGTATTTTTTAATTTAAATTACTTTTTATTATTTTATAATTAAATTGCCTTTTTGTTTTTTATACATTTTATTTGATTTTATACTTATTTTATTTATTTATTTTTTTAGTTTAAATTACTTTATTATTATTATTTTATTTATTTTTTAATTTAAATTACTTTATTATTATTATTTTATTTTTTATTTTTTTTTAATTTTTGTTATTTTGTTTTATTTTATTTTATCAAATTAAATTATTTTATATATTTTTTAAAGTAATTTAATTATTTTTATACATTTTTTAAAAGTGTTTATTTTAATTTTTATGTTTTTTAAATTAATATTTTTGGTATTGTTTTAATTATTTTGATTATTTTATTTTATTTTATTTTATTAAATAAATTATTTCTAGATATTTTTTTAAACGTTTTTTATAAGTATTTTAATTATTTTAATACATTTTTTAAAGTATTTTAATTATTTATATATATACTTTTAAAATTATTCTAATTATTTTTTGATTTTTTAATTATTTTTTGCATGTTTTTTTTGATTTAAATTATTTATTTTGATTTTTTTGGCTTATTTTAATTTATTTTTAATTTATTTTAATTTTGTATAGTTCAATTTCATTTAATTTAATTTATTGTGTATAGTTTAATTTAATTTAATTTAAAATAATACATATAATTATAATTTAAATTAATTTAATATGTTTAATTTTATTTATTTCATATAATTTAATTTAATTTATTACGATTTAATTTAATTTATTGTGTATGTTTTAATTTATTGTGTATAATTTAATTTAATATAATGTAATTTGATTTAGTTTAATTTAATACATTAATTTAATTTA